TTCAAGGAATTTCGCCGGTACCAATTGAATGTTTTCATTTGAATTGATTTCCTCCTTGGGAAAAAACGAGCTCCACTTAACACCTCTGCTGATTTTTGGGAAATAGCACCCGGTTGTATAATGCAATTCCACAACCAATGAAAGTAATAAATGCAGTCATCCTATCCGCGTAAGTTTTGGTTTAGTAGTAGTATATACTAAAAGTAGTATATAGTATAAGCACAATATAATATAAGTACTATATAGTATAGGTATAGAATAATTAATATATATTTTGGTTTCGTAGTAGAATATAGTATAAGTAACATATAGTATAAATAATATATAGTGCAAATAGTATATACTATACGTACTACATATTATAAATAGTATATAGTGTAAGCAGTATATAGTAAAATGTATATAGTAAGTCAATTTTAAAATCTACTTCCGTCTGCTGTTCATGATGCACATAAAACAGCAAAAGTAAGAATTGACCAACAGAAAACATGTTTGGTGTTTTGCCAACAGCTGTACTATTTGGTTGCGATCTACTGCTACACCTACCATATTCTTTCTTGATACCATCTGATTCTTACTTATTTCGGTTTCTACAAAAATAATTTGAATTTGAAATCTTTACTTCAAATACAGACACCAAAAATAATCAGAATCAGTTTTTTGCCAGCAAAGATTTTTTTGCCAGTTTTGCATATTTGCCAGCCCAAGAATTATATGAGCGTAGAGTCTGCTATAAAAATAGTTCTGGACCAAAATGGACAATATTTAATAACTCAACAATATTTATGCACTATAAAAAATCTTTAATTTTATAAAAAAAACTAATTACTGAATTAACTAAATATATTAGTAGAGAGGTTTCGAACAATAGCGAACTACAACAACAAAAATTATTTTTATATTATTTTAATTAAATGAATTTTTGGCTCACCATACAGCTGTTTCGAGTATTGCCAAATACCCATTATCTGGGGTCTTTTTTGTATTTAATAATTAGTAAATCATTTTTTTTTTGAAACTGCAAGTACCAGGAATCGAACTCGTGCCCTGCCAAATTTAAAACTCAGAGTCAGCGCTGCTTAATCAACTGACCAATTAACTGTTAATTTGCTGTTAAAGTTTATTAACAAATGCAGTTGCTGTGTTTTATATTAGAACGTAATCATAAACTAGCTGTAGAATAATTCAATTAATTAATTATAATTTTATTTTTAATTGTAATATTTCAGTAATTGTAAAATATATTAGTATTAAAAATACTAGTCTTTAAGTTGTTTTCATTTATAAAAAAATTTTTTATCCATTTCTAACCTATCTATTGTTGGAGACAATAAAGTTGTTAGCTATAGCTTTTTCTGGTCGTCAAATGAAGTTAGCAGAGTAGTATTATCAATGATATAACAAATATTATAATCATTGATAAACTTTTAAGCTATCAGCATTAAAAATATTTCAATTTATTTTTACTTAAAAATTGTCTTTTATTTTATTTCAGTTCCTTAGTTAGTAGCCCTTAAGTCAACGAGTACTTACAGGCACTTAGTGTTTCGAATTGACACTTAAGTGAGCATTGCAAATACTTGTTATATGCATAAAGCAAAGATATATCATAATTCTGAGACTTATTTTTTTATATTTTTCATTCATCTAATATTAAATTAATTATTATAATAGTAGAAAAATTTGTGTTTCAAAAATATTTGTTTAAGTTGCCTAAGATTTCACCTTAAAAATCACTTAATTTCGAATTGTTGAAAATCTGCACTAAACATTCACCATTTCTCAAATTTCCTTGTCTCTACATAGAATAAAAAAGTGAAGTAAACTTTAAAATTGAGTATAAAACAAAATGGTCTTTTGGCAAGGACCTATAAGCCTGATAACATTTTTGCAATAAATCTTGTCTTTTTACTGATGGCAGGCAGCAAAGCAGAAAAAATATCAAAACCACAACAGCAAAAATGTGGCAGCAGCTTCTGTGGAAAAAGATTGCCTAAAACAACCTCGAATTTTTTAACAACAAAGCAATTTTTCGCGATTTATACGCTGAATTCGCTCAATTTAGTATTCAATTAAAAGTATGCAATTTGCAAGGAGCTTAAGTATTTTGCCTAAAACAAAATCAACTGAAAACACTTCCCACCATGGCATCCTCGCTCGTTCGGATGCCTTCATGCCTTCGAACTGTTGCGGTGTAATGCCAGTTTCATGCCAGTTTCATGCCATGCCGTAGAGGTAAAAAAGAGGTTTAAGCTCCGAAACATACACAAGCGCTCCTGATGATGATTATTTGATAAAACACGAGAACCATTCGCACATACATCCTGTATTGGCTTTTTCAAAAATGACTGAAACACACAGCTCCTCACTTTGAAGAGGAGCTGGAAGAGGAACTGAATATATGTAAGTGTGAAATTCAATACTTTTATTACATTTTATATCAAATGCTTTAAAAATTATAAACCAGGATTTTGCATTCATTTTAATATAGACAATTTATGTTATTTCAAGATAAATAAGTACAGTCAAATATCTCTATAAGGAAGACCTCTCCATAACGAATTCCTTTCTATAGCTAAGTTTTGTTGACACAGCGATTTATTATATGTTTTTATATACTTGAATCTCTTTATAGTAAACCTCTCTATAGCTAATCTCTCTATAGTTAACCTCTCTATATAACGAAGACCTCTCTATAACGAAGTTTTCTCCATGCACCAAAGTCTTCGTTATATAGATGCTTGACTGTAAATAATAATAATTATTAAAACAAAATTATACATACTTTTTCTGTATTTGTGGATTTATGAAATATTGTTGTTTTCTGTGTTTATGGGAAAGCAAAGCAACAAAGGATCATATCATACATTTATCTTAGAAAATAAGAGAAGATCACACAATAGAAAGTCAAAATATCGCAAATAAAGCTCTCATTGAACCGTGTCAGATAGTTTTGTCACCTTTCTTTCCCAACATTACTTTTGGCAAAATTAAAGAAGGTATCTTGACTGTACCACTGAACAATACTGTTGTAGTCAACAGAAAGCCATGTCACCGTCACCAAATTTTAATTCCTCTCTTTCTATCATTTTCAATTTTTTCATTAGCATTAAAAAAAAAAAAATTCACATTTGCGTGCTTGAACATATAAGTCAAGTACGACACTGGGTCAGTTGACTAATGAACACTGACTTTGAGCTTCAAATTTGGTAGGGTACGAGTTCAATCCTTGATACTTGCAGTCTCACAAAAACTTTAACGATTAATAAAATATAAGAAATAATTCCAAAAATGATGACAGGTATTTGACAATACTGTAAACACCAGGATAGTTAATCAAAAATTCAATTAATTAAAAATAATAAAAAAACTATTTGTTGTTGCAATTTCACTACTGTTCGATAAAAACCACTGTATTGAAAACAATAGTTTATATTACGATTTAAGTTCATTTCATCAAAACGAACGTTAAATGTCATTTTCTAACAGCCTTTTTCGTAAAACGTTCCTTGTACCAGAGTTTGGATGATCCTTGGATGATCCAAACTTAAACTGATTCCTTGTACCAGTTTGAGTTTGGATAAGGAAAAAATAGCATATTCTTTATCTGGATACGGTTTTTGCGTAAACAAATGTCGTAACGGTATTACAAAATCAAAAGTCAATTAGTTTTGATTTTCGTTTTCAACATTTTTTATGTGTTTTTCACTATTGGCAACGCCTATTTTATGTCGATTTTCTGCTGTTTGGAAAAGGTTATAGGCTCAAGAGATTTGTTTTTGCCATTGATTTTCGATTGAACAAGGAATGGTTGATGTTGTTTATAATCGTTGTTTTTTAAATAAATAAAATAATATGAACAATAGTCTTGTTGTTGTAATTCATTACTATTTGAAATACCTTTCTAATAAAGGTAGTCTCTTTCGTCATAATTGACATTAAAAACTAAATTTAAAATAATAAAATGTTTTATTATATTTTAAAAAATATATCAAACTTACATTCTTTCCTCCATTTTCTTTCGATACAAAAATTATTCAACGAAAACAAATGAAAGCTAATAATCTTTCGTTAAATTTTAACTTTTCCTAACGAATGCCACATCATTTTTGTGTATCGTTACGTTTTCGTTCGTCAAGCTGTCAGTTGGTTTATCTCTGTGCTTATTATACCATAGTTTTGGAGTACATCAAAAGTATTCTTATTCTTCTCTCTAATGAATAATTCATTTTACGGAATATAGACGACAAATTCATATGAAATTTAAAATTAACTTCATTAAAAATTTGTTATTCATCAAAAAACTTTTGTTCATTTTATGTCAAAATTTCATTTATCTCAAATTTATTCTAAAATTTTTTTATTCATTTCCCTTATTTCAATACTTTATTATATTAAATACAGTTTTTGCTGAAGAACTTTCTTTCTTTGACGCATAATTTTACTATAGTCGGTCTCCAATGCGACCTATCTATTGCTTATCACTATAATATCGTACCAAATTATTGGGAATTTTATTCTATGCAGAGATATGCTCTAACTCTACATATATTTTATATATGTTTTACATAAAATTGCTTTAGTGTAAACAGTTGATTCTAATTAAAGTCCAATTAAGGATTGTGATATAATATGATGATGAAGACTAACGACACAAGAGACACTTAAAGCGTCATTTACCCTCCCTTTTTTTGCTTTCTTTACTCCAATATTATCCATTATTTTAAAGTTCGTAACTCGAAACGGAAAATCCCGCCCATTTCCAGTAAATTTGTCTGTGGTATTAATTACTGTGCGCCCACGTTTATTAAATCGAATATAAACTTTCCTTCTCGTATAGAAAGCTATATTTTATAGCTTCATTATTTTGACTTGTGTAAGTGCGATGCAATCAATATATTCACTTAGAAAATAATCAAAACACAGTAGTCTGGCAACTCTAAATAAAATGTCAATGTAATTCAAAAAAAATTTTTTTTTCAATTAAATTTACAAGTTCGTGCAGATAGAACTCATTTACAACTTATTATAATTGGATATATAGAAAATCTTCCGCTAAAATCTTAAAGATCTAAAAAAATGTCAGCTTTTTATTTGTGGCGTCTGATAAAGATGAGTCGACTAGCACAAGGTATGAATTTAGTCAAATTATATGAAGTTGCACCAATGGTTTCCATAATGAACAAATATGCCATTACCACAATTCGTAACATGTCTTACAAGCGCTGCTTTCATGCAAATCTAAAATTGAGTCCCATAATGTCAAAATGTCGATGTTTCTCTACATCTGAATCGGAAGGACCTAAAAATGAGGATTTGGAACGTGTATTTCGTACTTTGGAGGAAAATTTACCGGGCTTGTTTGCACAACCATTGGATTACTCCATCTATAGTCCAAATCTCATTTTTCAAAATAACATTACTGGTACCTATACAGTTGGACTCTTTCATTATGTAACCCAAATTGCGCTATTTCGTACCGTTGGCCACATTAAGTACGCGTACATCAAGTTCGAAGTATTGAAAATCACTAAACACAAGGAAGATTACACCATTAAAATTCGCTGGCGCGTACGTGGCATATCAGGAATGAAATTAGTTTTGCATATTTGGAAGCATAAATTTTTGCAGTTAAAAGATATTCTCCAAAAGGAGGAATCATGGTATGATGGGTTTTCGATATGTTATTTGGGCGCAGATGGTTTGATTAGCAAGCATGTAGTAGACAGAGTATCGCCCGATCAGGAGCCATTCGAATGCAACCCTGAACCTGCAGTAGCAGAAGGAACTGTTGAAGCGACTTCAATTAGGAGTTTTTAAAGAGAATATATTTTTTTATTAATTTAACGCTATAAATTAATGTTGTATGTTTGAAAATAAAAATGTAAGTCCATGAATGTTTTATTATAAACAATAATTTTTGTAACAATTGTTTTAAAATAAATAATTAACAATATTTAATTCATGTGTTTTTTTGTGCAGTTTAACTTAACTTAACTTTAACTTAGAACTCGACCATAAAGTTACTATAGTTATTGTCTATTTACTAGATGCAAAGCTACTTTTAAAATATAATATAAATTAATTAAATTTTTTTTGTTGTCTTTTCATTTCTATACAAACCCTTTTAAGATTTAAATCTTATTTTATTGACATTTTTATAGACAGTTAAAATTTTTACAAAACTGTACATTTCGCTTTACCAATTTTAGTGCATTTAATAAATATGATATACGTATTCAATTTACATATTTCACATTTACATTAAATGTATTTTAATATTAATTTATAATTTTAAGTAAAATTCTTATAAGTACTAAAACATGAAAAACGAGACGACAAACAAACAAAAAAGAATCAACTCTTTAATCAATTGCAAAGTACTGTAAATTCCCTCATCACCAAAGCAATATTTTATCAGCTCCCCAGATTGTTATTGAATGAAATACCAATTACATTTGCAACAATAACAGCATACAGCCCCGGAAAGTCAGAAACTAATTTTAGCAAGTTAATCTCCATACACCAATGTAGCACCAATGAAAATGTTTTCAATTCTTATCTAAATAGTCATCAAGTCAATCACCAAATTGGTTTTTTGTCATTTCGTACAACTTTTACAACTTCAATGAACTCCAAAAGTTGCGAAACACTAAACTCTAAACTTCATGTAAAGTTTCACTCGCCCATTACCCAGGCCATATGGAAAACTTGTGGTCTTAGTCTTCAGGAAAGTTGTTACACTTCCGTAGCTTTGACAAATCATCAATTTGTGTTTGTCACTTCAACTTTGCAAAGTGACGGTGTCGACGTTCTTTATTTGCATGCTCAAGCTCGGCACAGATTCGATGATTAATGAATACGACTGCCGAAAAGTTTTATTGAAATAACTGGATTTTCACTTAATTTAATACACTAAATATTAGTAAAGCTTTCCTAAAGGTGAATGTAATAATAGTACGGATTTGAAGGATACACGTCCAAATCCAGCGCAAGAATATGATAACCGAATCACGCGACCCATTAAAGGAATCCCTAAAATGGGATGTGAAACAGAAAATAAAAATTTAATTGTCCAGCACTTATTGCACATTCACTACAAAAAAGTCCTGCACAGCTTTTATGGGGTTTTTAGTATCTCATTAAAGAGCATTAAATCCACTGCTTTATTGAACTGCGGACTTAAATTTCAAATTTAAATTTAGTAATAAAATTTTATTTGGAATTTATTGGCATATAAAGTTACATCTGAAAAACTGTGATAACGAAGGAAAAGTAAAATATTCACTCAAGACATTTATTGCTTATCAATTTCCTTATATTTTGTTTAATTATTTTAATAATACTTAAATGTTTTCAAACTTTAAATAGATACTAACCCTACTCGGACGGGTTAGGCACAATTACAACTCTTGCAGTTTCCAGTTGTAACAACCTATATCGTTTTTTACCTATATCGCGACGGCCTGAAATTTTAGAAGTTCTCTACATTTTTGCTTTATTTTTATATATTTTAAAATTTTAGAAAAAAAATTGGACATGATATGTCCAAGATATGAAACTGAATTGGTTTTAGCCTCAGTAAAGACGTCTTAGGTACAGTTGTACATATTAAATATATATGACCCAGGCAATTGACCAGGCAATTTCACCAAGAGATACAGTAATAGTGGAATGCCAACCCAATAGGGTTACATGTCGACTATCAAAAATGGTATGGATCCAAAAAGCTTCAAGGTGTCGGAGCAGGAATAGTCGGACCCAGAGCACAATATTCAATTAGAATAATTACAGACTCCACAATTTTCCATGCGAAACTCTATGCTATAATAAAGACCGTGGGGATCTTATCCAAAAAAGAACTTAAAAGAGTTAAAATTAATATACTCTCAGACAGTCAATCAGTTCTCAAAGTTCTAACAAGCTACACATTCACATCAAAAGTCCTTATAGAGTGTAACAATGCACTCAATCAATTGGCAACCTGCAACCAGGTCTCTCTGATTTGGGTACCCGGACGTGAAGGACACAAAAGCAACAAAAAGGCGGACCTTTATGCCAAAAAAGAGGCTGGTTCAATTCCTCGAGATACTGAATGTCTAAATACAAAGGGGTGCACAATAGATCAAGCTGGTCACAGTACACAGGGGCCTTAGTCTAACCCAAAACCCCTCCATACCATTGACCATTGACAAGATATGAAGTTGAATTAATTTTACTCTCGGTAAAGACGTCTTAGGTACAATTCTACCTTCATGTGTTTTGTACAAAATATTGAAAGAAAAAACATTTTTTCAAGACAAGTTATTATTAGAAAAATTAAAATCTTATTATAAGAAATGGAAATTCGCTGATATAATCTATTTTATCGATTTTCTTAGCATGAAGCACATGTTGTATTATGTTAATCGCTCTCATTCAAACCACACTTGACTTTCTAGTCTTTCGTTGCTTCCAACTCAGATGTTGACAAACATAACAGCTGCCAACAATTGCGATGGATTTCATGTCTGCCATGAGGCACTTCAACACTAGTTCCTCGTTCTAGTGGCAGCAAAATACATCGTCCAAGTAGCATTTCTACTGCGCTTTGAGAAACTTCTTTCGTTGTGCCTTTATTTTGAACCTTGGTTAATGCTCTCTATAGATAATATAGGATGCCAATCCAGTGATATTAATAGTGTTGTAGAACATTCGCAGATGTCAAGGCAACGTTCGTCGTCCGTTCTTGTATTCACTAAACATTTTGTCAATCACGTCTTGGTTTTCTTCCAATGACATGCTTCAGACGTTCAATGTCTAACCCCGATCTAAAGAAAACTTGTTGGTAACGACATTTCTTCTAGATCCTTTATACAAACGAACTTAGTTTAACACACTTCGTTCACTCGTTAAGGAATATCTATTGGTTTTCCAGTATAAATGGAACGTTATAAAGGATAGGCGTTTGATGTAAATTTTAATGTCATATTTAGTCGGTTTGAAAGGTACATATGGTGTAAATTTAGTAAGGTCTCTAAATGGAAATAATTATGCGTCAACAGTGGTGCATTCATATGTACTCTTTTTCCAAATTTCTGTTCAACATTGTCCAGATACCCCGAATAATTTGGAATTATATCACCACGTCACTACATCCTTTGAGAATTATTATGACATATATATATGTCGGTAGTGATGCCGAACAAGTGTGTTTAGATGTGGTCGTTACTCGCAGGTAGGTACCGTTGGTGCTTCTCACTCAGAAGCAGAGGGCGCTATCGCAATGAATAAAGAAGTGTGTATGAATGACTGAGTCAGCTGGTGTGTGGTAGCATTAAGTGATGAAGGAAGCGTTGGGGCATATAGAAAATGAGAACGAATGTATCGCATCATGGCTAATCAGCAATAGAGAAATATAAATGTGACATATATGTAACATATTACAAATTTGGATTAATTGGATAAAGTTTTGAATAAGATTTAATTTTACAATAAAATCAACATAAATATCTAAGAGAAATGCACATAATTGTTTGGAAAAGTGTTATAATAAAGCAATTTCTTACATATCTCCAACTAATTTGAATTATTTTTTATTCGAATTTTTATACAATTGATTTCTCAAGCAGTTTCTCTTTATTTGATATTGCCTAGACATTTTTTAAAAATAGTTTTCGTAAATGATATAATTATTTCATATCTCAGAATCAGAACCAAATGAATTATTACTCTTTTCCTCTGTAAGTGATTATTTTAAAACTATTTTAATATAAATTTTCTCAACTTGCTCAACCATATAAATTCGCTTAAAGCGAAAAATATTCCAATATTAAAATTTTTATTTCATGATTTAAAAAAAATTTGGTTGCACCCGCGTTTCAGTTTACTAGAAAGTCACTGTTAAATGATGTACAATGGATTTCGTAATGGTTACAAATTTTATGAGTTGTAAAAGGGAAAAGTATCTAGAGTTTTTGGTACAACAATTGTGTTAACCTCACACTACTCATACAAAATTCAGTTACAAAGCTCACGGGTTTATGCTGCATAATGGATGAGCTCAAGCGGATTTTTTGTCAATGACGCTTTCATGACGTTGCCACCAGCAGCAATTACTTCGCCAGATCAGAGGTATCACAATGCGCTGGGTTACGGGTCACTTGCATAGAAAAGGTTTCATTCTTTGTTGTGCATTCAGTTGTAGATACATTTGAATGTCATGGCTGCAACTTTTCCTTAATGCCAAATTGCGGATATACATGCTTCACAAATGCAGTCAAGGGTTTTGGGGAGTTCAACTTTTTATAACTACGTTGAATTGTTTTTGCAGAAAGAAGTTAAAATAATTAAAGAAAACCCCCCATTGCACTTTAGAAGTTGTCTAAAATGTTTAGCTTTTATCTGGAGTTATTTAAAGGTTATTTGAACTTAACTTAGCGGTTGCTTACTAAAATTATATTCAAACTAGATTATTCAAACTAAGTTAATTTAGGACCTCTATACTTCTGATTAATAAGAATTGAAAATTTGCAAGGTAAATTGTTTTTACCTCTCATTACAATCTTAACAAAATTCTATGTATTTTCTATTATTTTTTCTATGTATTTTGTATCAATCTTTACTCTAAGCGTATTTAATTGACATTTTGTTTATCTGACTCGAAAATGCATTGTCAGATATGCTGTCTGTCTATCTGGCTGTCCCTCCAAACAACTGCTACTATATTAGTCTATTGATACTACTGTTGAGAACAAACTGTTTATATGCCGGATGTTATTCGGAAGCGGATATAACACTATAACGGAAACAGTTACAGTACTAATACAGCATTTTTTATTTTTATTTTATATCTGATATTTAATTTTTTTATTTTTTTGTAAGAAAGGTTTACTGAAAAAATCAAATTA